CTAACGCATATAGGCTTTACTAGCTATAATTATATAATTCGAAGATTATATTAAGTAGGTATACCATTTATATAGTATATCTTTAGCTATAGCTCTTTTAAAAGTTTTAAGTTAAACTTTATAACTTACCTTTATTATTACATAATCTCTTTATATAACTATTTTATATAAGCGTTAAGGGCTAACTATATAACTTATATCCTTTATTAGTTATATAATCCTTTTATTTTATTATTAAAAGAGCCCTTTCCTTATTAGTAACTAATATAGTTATTTTAACTCTATACTAAGTCTTAAGTAACGCTATAAAGTTATTAAAGATATCCTTAATACTTATTTTCTTTCTATTAAGTAATAGAACCTTATAAATATATTTATATAAGTAAATAAAGCAAGTTCTTTCCCTATATATACTATTATAGGGCTAAGGTAAAGGTTAAAGCTAACTTATACCCCTAAACCTTTGGGCACTTAAGATAGTATTTTTCTTAAGACTTCCTTCTTAGCTTTATTACGTATAATAGCTATATATTATAGGGCCTTAAAGCTTAGTACCTAGGTAGGCTTTTAATAGCTTCTCTAGTAATCTTAGACTAAGATACCTAAGGCGGCGATATTATAGGTTACCTACCCCCTTAGTTAGCGGCTTAGGCGCTTAAGTAACTATAAATGCCTACTTATATTATAGGAGTATTCTTATTACGAATTAACCTTTAAAGTCGGTTAGTTTAATACGAACCTCTTTTATAGGTTTTAAATAGAGGTATCTTAGGAGCTAGTTCTAGAATATCCCTACTATTATCCTTAGCCTAGCTAAGAAGATACTTATTAGTATTTCTAGGATAAAGTAAGTATCTAATAAGGTTATCTTTCTACTATTAATTATAGGGATAACTACTATTCTTATTCCTTATACCCTAAAAGCTTAGTCTTTAACCTAGACTTTATTATTAGAACCCTACTTAAAGGTTCCTTCCTAGAACTAACCTAGGTTATTAAAGAGGTTAATATCGGCCCCTAAGTTATATATTAATTTATCGGTAAGTAATAGCGTTCCTTTAATAGCTATATTTACCTTAGATAGAGTAACTATATTAATAGTCCTTCCTATCCTATTATTACTAATAATAGTATCTACTAGTTCTCTTCCTTTAAGGTAGGAATTAGGGGTCTAGGCTATATATTTTACTTTCTCGTTTAGATAGTCTTTTAGCCGTTTTTTAATATTCTACTTAGCTAGATTACTATATTTCTAGCCTAACGAGGGCTTCTTATTATATATTACCTATAGTAAGTAGTAATTTTCCTACTAGCTTATTAAGCTATTAACGTACTACTTATAGCTAGCGTATTTAGCTTAGGTATCTAATTTCCTAGAGATTTAATTAATGCTTCCCTTTTTTATAGGTAGTTACGACTTCTTCCTATAAGTATATTCTTATTTAAAGTTAGCGATTAAGTTCCTTAAAGGAAGTTAATCTTTACTATATCTTTTATTATAAAGGTCGAGAGCCCTTATTATTATAGACTAATATAGGTCCTACTTATCTACCGCTATAAGAAAATCCTATCTAATTCTATATTAAGTATATGACCTTAAGGTCTTATAAATCTATAATAATTTAGTCGAGCTATTCTACCTATATTTTCTAGTCTCGCGTGCCTCTTTTATTAATAGAGTTATATATCTCTTATAAATTAGCTTTTCTCCTCTACCCTTGGGCAGGGCTTACTTCTTTAATTCCTTAATTTTCTCTCTTAAATTATTATATATTAGGTTATCTCCTAAAGCCCTTTATTAATCGTTTTCTTAATTAATTCTTTAAGTATAATTAAGGCTTTCTACTAGACCTTATAGCGATCGAATTATAGCTAGAACCTTTTCTTAAGGTTATAAAAGAAGTCCTTTATATCCTAGTATTATTTATTATAGCCTATTCGCCTCGCTAAGAATATAGCCTTAGTTTTATCTTCTCGTTAAAATAGTCTCCCTCTAAGGTTAATAATAAATTACTTTTAGTCTAGCTATTAGGGCTATTTAAGCTCCTTTATATTATCTAGGTTAGTATATTCCTAAATCTTATAAGTCTAGGCACATAATTTAATCCATTAATCTATAGAGATCTAATTAAGGCTTTCCTTTAGTCTTATAATATAATTATCCCCTCTTACTTCCTTTAACGTTATCTTAGGAAAATAAAGGGTTCTAGCTTAATAAGTAATATCCTTTTTTAAGGGATATATAATTTATATAATTTATATATTTCTAGTAGTGCCCCTTAGTATAGCTAGGTTCCTTGCCTTAATACTATAATTTAAGCGTTATAACGGCGTTAATAGCTTATAAATAGCTTTAAAGGTAATATCGGCGGGTAAAAGATAATCTAGCTATATAGGCTAGGCTTATAACTCTTAAGTAGTAGCTTAAGAGTATAGTAAAAGAAATAAGGGTATAAAAAGGTAAATTTAATAATATATATCTTAGTCTATCTATTAAGATAAGGGAGGGGCTTATATAGGTATAGTAACTATATATAGCTAGCTAAGAGAGTATTAAGATATTCCTATACTAAAGTTAAGCCTATATAATATCCTTAGGCTAGGGAGTTATTGTCTGATCATTTGTACGATAGAGCGCACATCGCAGGAGGGTATCACGTGCGTCAGCAGGAACAACGTTTACCCGACACGCACAACCTATCAAACCTCACAGCATGGTCTAGATAGCGAAGAATAACAAGAACAACACGATCATCGATCAAAGACCCAACTGAGCCTCAGTTAGCCTATCCACACTGATCAGTTGTTACCTTGGCTGGTAACCTCAGAGCAGCAAGATAGAAGAGACTTCTCAACGCATCCTCACGATCTGTGGCGCTCTGCGAAAAAGAGTGCTACAACGCGAGACTGACTACGAAGACCCGACCGGCGCCCACTCTATTCAGTCAACCGTGCCTAGTTGTTTGCCTCAGCCGCTGACCTCTTAGGCGTGCCCTATCGCACATACAAATCTCTGGTATCCCGCTTGATTATCAGCTTCATTGATCACTCTCGATCAATTTGACCCTCTCTTGACACCTTCTTGCCCTATTCCTCGCAGATTTTCCTGTCAAGCCCCATCCGACATCATGAGCAGCAGCGCAAGCGTACCAGCGCGAACGCGAACGCACCGGCGCTCGACATCAACGAATTCCTCGATATTGCTGAATTCAACCGTGGCCTCGCCACAATCTTCAACATGGACCTCTTCAACACCCCAGTCAACGAGACTTCCGATGAGATCCACTATAATACCTTCGTTCTCGCCCGCATCGTTGATTATAAAGTCTCTCAACATGTCAAGGTCTCGAGCTGCTTGGATCATTCCAAGAAGACTTTGAGGATTGGGAGAGAAGACGACTTCAAGAAGGTCGATCCAAGGGTCCGTAAGGTCCTACGGAATACCCTAAGGTTCAGAGAATCTATACAGGAAAGCTGAACGCAAAGATCACGGCATTCCTAGTAAATCTGAAGAACCGTGACCGACTTCCTGAGTGGGATGAAGACGATCTTCGTGATGCCATCTTATACGAGAAAACGGCCGCCTACCGACGCCAACAAGAACTCCTCAGACGATCGCCATCGCTAACAACCCCAGCACCAACCCCAGCACCAACCCCAGCACCAGTCACTCCCGATCTAAACCTCCGCAAGACCCCCAATGACCAATCCCTACCCCTGTCACGATCAGATCAACAGCAGCAGGAACATGATCAGACCAGCTATCGACCGCGAAGCTTACCGGACCGTGCCCCCAGTCCAGGTCCCCAATGAAGACCTCGATCCTGCCATCGCCAACCAGTTTTCTAAGCTATGGGATCGAAAGCTCAACTATTCAGGTGACGCCTACGATATCCTAGATGATAAGATCCGTTACTTTCTCGATGCCTGCCTCACAGCTAGCATCAAACCGTCACAATTCCACGCTTTGCTCTCAAATATCCTCACGAAGAGCAAAGAACTTCTTCGTGCATCAAGTCAGCCGCGATTCAACGTTCGCGGAGATGTATCAGAAGATGAAGCAGCACTTTGATACGGAAGTCAATAGGCAACAGTATCACACTGACTGGACCTCGATCAATTTCACAGCTTCGGAAGGAATCTCCCGAGAGCCTCTCTGTGAAATCCTCCAGGCTCTTCTTGACAAATTGCAGCTATGCCAGAGAGCTCTTGGGAATAGCTATGGCGGCGAAGACCAGCTAATTTCAACGACAATTCGAGCATGCCGTGGCGTGCCTGAATTAAATTCGCCCTCTTCGTGCCGGCTAAGACCTTCGAGGACTATCTTCACAGCTAAGATCGTCACTCAACCGTCAGCCAAAGACAGCCCGGACAGCCCAGTCAATATCTTCAAGATCAAGACCAATTCTTTACTGACCGCCGCTATCAGCACCCGCTGACAAAGGAAGAAGTGGACGAAGCGCTGCTACGTCTGCGGCAAAGAAGGCTGTTTTTCAACGAAGCATCCGGATGACGAGAGAAGAGGGCCAGGAAATATCTTCGAGAACGAGGATTTCACGGCCAGAAGTCATCTTCCCGTCCATTTACTACGTTCCTTGCCGATTACGAAGGACCCAGATGAAGATCAGACCTCTGATTCTGCTGACGATGACTCTGACGATCAAAGCGATAGCTTCTTTGCAGCTGCCTTCCTATCTAATAGAGCTTTTCGCCACCGCATTCACACCGTCGAGGAGAATCGATATGCGAGGAATCACAGCATTTCTTGCTCGATCGCTACAACGGACCTCTTTCCAGGGATCCTGCCTGACACGGGTGCAGCGAAGATATCTACAGCTGGGATCGACCAATTCCGCGCTCCAACGAGAGATGCCGACGGTCCAGCTACGGAAGAATGCGACGATCGCAACGGTCAGATTCGGTGAAACGAGCCGACGAACACGATCGGGATCACAACAGTCATTACCCCGATTGGAGAAGTCGTTTTCCACGTTATCAATATGTCAACGCCCTTCTTGCTATGCCTCAAGGATATGGACCGTCTCGGTGCCTATCTCAACAACGTCACGAACGAATTGATCTGCGGCGATAAGAGGATTCCGATCGTACGCAAATGGGGTCATCCGTGGTTCTTCCTACGGAAGGATGAAGCCGCTATTGCCTTCCTATCGAAGCCGAGCTTCGGCGCCTACTACTTTGGCCACCCGTCAGTACACAAGCTACATAAGCTACTGACAAGCGCTGGGCATGATGTTGAATTCGAAGCAATCGCGATGATCCGAAAATTCTGTCATTTTGCCAGATCAAGGCAGACGCACCGCGCAGGTTCAAATTCACGTTAAAGGATAACTGCGATTTCAACTACGAATTGATCGTCGATGTAATGCATCTTGACAGCCAGCCAGTCCTTCATGCCGTTGACCTGCAACCTCTTTCCAAGCCGGACGATTTCTTCAGAATATATCGGCTAAAGAGACGTGAAGCACTCAAATTGTGTTGGATTGACACATACCTAGGCCCTCCAGATGTTATCACGCACGACGCTGGTACGAATTTTGCCTCCTCTGAGTTCCAACCAGAAGCGAAGCTGCTAGGAATAACCTGTCACACAGTGCCCGTCGAAGCCCACTGGTCAATTGGCAAGGGGGGGAGATATCACGCCCCGATTCGAAGGGCATACGAGATCTTGAAAGCCGAGCTAAAAACAGCATCAGCTGAGTCGTTGCTTCAAATGGCCTTCAAATCCGTCAATGATACCGCCGGACCTGACGGTCTAGTGCCCACACTACTAGTCTTTGGTGCCTACCCTCGGATAACGATGGATTCGCCGCCTTCTTCCGCGATCACGTGCGAAAGCCGTGACGAAAGCTATGGCAGAGCTACGCAAGCTTGTAGCTAAAGGAAGGTCAATGACGCCCTCAATGCCCGTAATGGGCCCAACACGATTGAGAAGATGCCACTATCATTGCCGCTTGGTAGTGAAGTTCGAGGTATTTCGTGAAGAGGAGGATGGAAAGGCCCATACAAGGTCCTAGCTGTGACAGACACAGAGGTCACAGTTGAGCTGAACAACGGGCCAGCTAAATTTCGCAGCACGGCTGTCCAGCCCTACTTTCGCCACCCGGATTCGCAGCAGCAACGAAGTCACGATGTTCTACAGCAGCCACACGCTGACAATCAGACTGCTGACAATCAGGCTGATAGCATCAACGTTGAGACCGAAGTGCCTAAGCCATTCGAATATCCCGAGCCGGAGAGACCACGCAGACGCGGCAGACCAAGAAAAGTCCTCGAGATCAGCAGCAATACGATACCTTCGTTCCTTCTAGTTATTTCCTTAGTCTTAGCCCTTTTCGTTACCTCGATCTCAATTTTCACCCGCTAATATGTTTCTATCGCATAAGGTGCGCCGCCCTCGACCTTGCCGTAAAGTTACGTGCAGAGAAAATCACTACCGCCGGACGACCGTTTGAAGCCTCTGATGACCTCGAAATCACGAACCTGCTAGGCAGGCGTCATCGTGCCCGAACGATACGATATGAATAAGCATGGAAAACACAGGCTATTCAAGTCACGAATGGTCCGGGAGGTCAAAGGCAAGAACACTGCTACACCGTACGAAAGTCTCGTCTTGTGGTACAAGGATATGGTGACGACGAGCGTGAGATCCTCACGCAGGCTCCAACAATCTCCCGTCCTGCCCAGCGGGTAGTACTCGCTCTTTCCTTTCCTTTGCTCTTTGAAGATGTCTCTTGCTATCGAGACATTACGATGGCCTATACGCAGGCATCGACCACTTTGAATCGCACTATCCTCATCTCTTTGCCACACGAATTAAAGAGATACCGGGGAACCATCCTTCGTGTGGTCAAGCCATTGTACGGAATCGCTGAAGCAGGCGCTCATTGGTTCAATACGTATCATGAGCATCACCGCATCAAGCTACAGATGGAGCCGTCAACGTTTGATCCATGTTTAATGATAACGACCGCAGAGATCAACGTCACGACCGCAGAGACCAACGCGGATACCGCACTTCAGGTTAATGCCTTCGGCGTTGCCGCGCTTCAGACTGATGATACGTTATTGGTAGGCACAACAACATTCCTGCAACGTGAAGACCGCGAGCTATGCTTCCAAGCCAAGCCAAAGAAGACCCTACGAGAAGGCGATACCTGTGATTTCAACGGCAGCCTCATTGCTCTAGAGAAGGGCTATCTTCTAGTCATGCAGAAAGGTCAGGTCAACAACCTCAAAATTATCGATCTATCCACGGAAGATCGGGCCCAACGATACGTGGAACAACGTGCCCGTGGCGCCTATATAGCCTCAATTTGTCAACCAGAGGCTAGCTTCGATTATTCAATCGCGGCACAATCACAAGATCCAACCGCGGAGGATTTTCAGGCGTTGAATAAACGGATCAATGGCAGATCGACAATCCACAAAGAGCCTTCGATTCGTCCCAATAGGTCTAGAAGCAGCAAAGGTCTTCGTCTTCACAGACGGATCATTCGCCAACAACAAGGACTTAAGCTCTCAGATCGGATTCGTTATAATCATTGCAACCGAGACTAAGTCAGATGAGTCATTCACGATCCACGGAAACCTGATCCATTGGAGCTCGACGAAGTGCAAGAGAGTCACCCGCAGCGTCTTGGCTTCTGAGATATATGGATTAGCTTCAGGCTTCGATTTGGCATATGTGGTTGCAGGGACGATCAACCAGATTACAAGCCGCCTTGGATTACCGCAAATCCCGCTCGTTGTGTGTACAGATTCGTACAGCCTGTACGAGTGCCTAGTGAAGCTTGGCACCACCACGGAGAAACGTCTGATGATCGATATCATGGCGTTGAGACAGGCCTACGAACAACGCGAAATCACCAACATCCGCTGGATCAACGGGCGGATAACCCGGCCGATGCAATGACGAAGCTATCTCAAACGGGGCCTTAACCCGATTCGTTAACGACAACGAGATCACGATCCGGCTCGAAGGCTGGGTTCAAAGGAAGGAAGATATGACCGCATGATTGACGATTTTGATTTAAGCTTGCTATCGATTGTTCCTTTGTGTTGAGATACCCGTTTTTACATGTTGTGGGAACAACGTTTACCCGACACGCGCACAACCTATCAAACCTCACAGCATGGTCTAGATAGCGAAGAATAACAAGAACAACACGATCATCGATCAAAGACCCAACTGAGCCTCAGTTAGCCTATCCACAGTTATATTATTTAGGTAGGCTTCCTTATATATAACTATTAGGTCTACTAAGTATAACTATAGCCTTTTATACTTACTCTCTCTCCTTAATAAATACTATATACTTAGTAGTACTAGTATTATATATAGAATTATAGAAATTTCTATTCTCTAAGGTTTTATAAGGGATTTCCTTTTCTTTTACTTTATATATAAGGTCTTTAATTTAAAAGGAATTTAAAGGTCCTATTTACCTATTATTAAATATAGCTTTTTTAAGGATATTTAAAGAGATATATACCTTTACTTTTTCTTTAGAGCTTTTATAACTTCTAGGGTAAGAGGAGAATAAAAAAATCGATTTCGGTTCTTTATCTATTTAATTATCGATTTCTATTTTCTACTTTCGATATATATAGAGGTTTTTCTTCTTCTTATCGACGTGGAGTCTAATTTAAAGGATTTCCTACATAGAAGGTTTTCTAGACCTCTTAAAGGTATTCCTTTATTTTAATTTTTTAAATTTTTAGAAAAGCCTTTAAGGGCCTTTTCTAGGTAAAGATAGTAGTAATCTTTAACTAAATGCCCTTTCTTCTTATAGTAAGTACATTATAATATAATTTTTATCTTTTTCTAAGGCTTCTTAATAAAGAAAGCCTACTTAAGGGGATTTTCTAAAGACTTAGTCCTCTTAAATTTATCTATAAGACTACTAAAGAGAGACTCTAGATTAAAAGCCTCTAAGTTATTTTAAAGAGCTTACGTTATACTAGTTATATAGCTAGAAAACGAGCCTAAAAGGCTATTTATAATCTAAGCTATAATAACTACTTCCGGAATTATAATATTCTATACTTTTAGCTCCTTAAATACCTCTTTTACCTTATTTAGGTAGCCTTCTAAGATTCAAATCCCATACCAGTATTAAAAGCTCCTTTATAAATAGGTAATTTAAGGTAGGAAATAAGGTTATATAGGTTTTTAACCTATCTTACGCCTCTTTAATACTTATTATATACTTAATTTAGGTTAAAGGACTATCTTTAATATAAAGAAAAATTAAAGTAAGTGCTTCTTTTATCTTTAAGTAATTTTCTTACTATATAGTAGTAGAAAGCTTCTCCTTAACTAAAAGAGCCTATATTTAAATAGCCTAGAAGGTATAGTTAGAACTACCCTTAAGTTTAGTAAATTTAAACTTATCCCTAGAGCTTATTTTAGAGAATTCGAGGTCGTATAGCTTATATTAGAATTTCGAAGATTTTTCGAAGTTATTACCTAACTTATAGAGAAGCTAGGCTTATAACCTATAAAAAGGTAAGAGTAATAAGCGTAGAATCGGGTTATTAATAACGTTACCGGAAAGATCGGTCGAAGGAGTATAGGGTAGGATTTTATCCGGAATTTAGAACGAGTATATAAGGGGCTAAATAATATATTAAAAGAATAGCGTTATAAAGATACTTATAAACATATTACATCTATCTACTACTGCTAGAAATCCTTTGTCTTTTATAGACTATTGCTCACTTACTAATAGACTAATTAGTTAGCTTTCTAGTATATTTTATAGTACTTAAAAATCTATCTATAGTATATCTTCTAACTTAGTAGGTAGTCTAATTATAGCGTAATAGTTAACGTAAGACTATAGGTTCTAGTATAAGTAGTAGATTTAACTAGAATATTCTGCCCTACCTTTTCTTATATCGCGATATCTTCTTGGACCGCTAGGCTAAAATAGGCAATAAGGTATCCGTTCTACTCGTAATTAACTTATATATTTTATATATATTTTTATTTATAAGGATAGGCTTATCTAACCTTTTCTAAAGGAAGGTATAGATATCTAGTAAGGTCTTTATCTTTAAGGTTATTCCCTTAGACTATATTATAAAACCTCTTTTACTAGCTTACTTTATAAGGCCTCC